ACAGCAGGCCAAGCAGCATCTGGCCTGCTTTGTTCTTCCAGCCTCCTGCTTGTCTACCTATGGCAATCCAGAATGTACGAATTATTTTTCAAATGCACTAAGTTTGCCAGTCAGGTATGCAGTAATTTAAAATGCAAGAATTTTGCTCCCCAACTCGCAAATGACAAATGAACACCCGGGGTGGCTGATGGTATTCATCTGTGAGCAGCGAGGTATGAAAACAACTTTTTCCAACTGAACGCCAGAAAAAAAAGTCAGCAAAACAAAACTGCTTCTGGTCGAAATTCTAGTTTGCTGCTTTTCAGACTCTTGACGGAGAGAATGCGAAGATTTAAAAAAATGAAAAATACCATATTTGGTTGTAAATATTCATTTTAAATGGGACTACTTTCTCCCTTGTGTCCTTTGTCGAGAAGTTGCCAACGCAATGCGCGATTAAAACCAACAGAATAAAACGACTAATGTCAATTTTCACCTGTTGAACGTGTCAACCGGAATCCAGATCTTTATTTTGTTTTAGCGCGGATGTTTTCTGATCCTCCTGTTGTTTTCCAGGTGCCAATTTATAAATTGCAGAGATCGAGGATAGATCAGTAAAACTGTCTTTTCTACACGAAATAACAAAAACCGATATCGTTAAGCAATTTAAGGCATTAAAGATGTGGTTTTGGCTCAGGACTGCATGTTTGTAGCCCCTAGCTTTCCTCCCTCCCCCTCGCTGGTGGCGGTTACTGAACCGCCAAGTGCACGGGGAGAACGGCTGCGCGAGGCAGCAATTCATCCACCCGCGCGCTCCACCGCCGCCATCTTGTAATCCCCCACACTGCCGTTTGGGGTGTCGGAAGGATTCTCTCGCGAGGAAGGACGCCATTATCGGATTTTAACAAACAAGAAACGAGAACTGAACGGTAATAACCACCGCGATATCCCGGCTCTCGTTTGTAAATTCTTGTCTGGTTCCGTTCGCATTCCTTTTGCAGCGAAATAGTTGCAATACGTCGATTACACATTTTATATATCAGTCGGACCGTGAGGTGGAGAGGCCTACAAGAGATCTGCCTGACTTTTAATTCTCGTTTATCTGTTGTCTTTAACGAGCAGGGTGGTTATAATTTTTGATGGTAGTCGGGCCAGGGCTTTAGAGTTCCGATGTTCATTGTCCAATATTTGTTTATTTGAGTAAAAGTACTGGAGTATAACAATATTTAGACTCGCGTGTTTTATTTATTGTACTGGAAGTGGGGGTGGGGGAGTGCATCAAATTTAAAAATGCTTATACTTAAAATGATTTTGGTCTTTAAAACCTAATGTGTGTGAATGTTTCACCTTTCTCAGCAGCGCAGATTTTATTCGAATTTCGGAAAATTCATATCTCTTACTTTTCACACCCATGAAATAACTGAATTTTATGTGGAAATTAAATTGAAAGACAAAACGCGAAGATTGAGCAATGATTTATGTAAGATACTTTGCCGCTTCCAGGCCTAGTTATTGGGAGGTTTGGCGATAATTCCTTGAGGCTTTTGGTGCAGTATCGATTCAGCGTATTTAAATTGCAATTAGAAATAATTTGGTACGTTTTCACCGTAACTTGTTGGGTTAATACTAAGTGCAAATATAGTATGCCATTCAGGGATACAAAATTTAGGAATAATTCCTGATGCCGAATTTTGTATTTGTCGACTGAAATAGCTGTAACTGCAAACGGTTACCATTTTGTAACAGTACAGTTGGGTACTCAAAGTACCTGATTGACACTGCTACAATTTCGGTATAAATGGTACACCAGAATCTTGCACTGAAGAACGTATGTTAATATTGCTGGAGATTTTAGAGGAGAGACTGTTCTCGCACACATTAGCAAAATTGTAGCAAGCGATCGTGCAGAGTTTCTCTGCTTTTTGTAAAGAATAGCCTGTATACGATTACAGGATTGTTATAACTTAATGAAAATTGAAGGTAAGTTGGATAAATCCATTATATTTCCCACCAAAAACTTGCAAATTATCAGTGGGTGAGTTATTCAGCGATTTTTCATCATGCTTGCAGGCTAAGGCCTTTTTTCACGAGTTCGTGCTCTTATCGTCCATGCATACATAGCTGGTAGAATCTGGCGCTGACTAGATATAACGTTCCGTGATAAATCTGTTGGTAATGCATTGGGAATTACAGGACAGAATTAATGGAAAAAAGAGTCTGCAGGATGCGATTTAAAACAAAAATAGTAGGGGTGACATATTTAAGACATGCGAAAGAATTTCTAGGTAGTCAATCTGTGGAATTCTTCACTCCAGCGGACTGTTAAAGCTTCGTCATTAGGTATATTCGAGGCTGAGATGGATAAACTTATAAACAATAAGGGAATCACAGGTTATGGGGGAAAAAGCAGGAGAGTGAAGTTGTTATCAAATCAGCCACAATGTCATTGAATGGCAAAGGAGATTCGATGGACTGATTGGCATACTGTGTTTTATGGCTTATGGTGTGGTAAGGTAGAAACCTACACAAACATCACTACCTCTAAAGAATGGATTTAGATTTCTCTGTGATGCTTCCCTAAGTTCTCTCATTTTAATGTTTCTTTGCTAAATATTTGAGGGTATCTGATTTAATGCATTATCCTTGTCTACACAATAATAGGAATATTTACTTCTTGAATGAACATAAGAAGAATAGGTCATTCAGTCCTTCAAGCCTGTTCCAGCATTCACTGACATGATGTCTGATCTGTGGTCTAACTCCATTTACCTGCCTTTGGCCCACATTCCTTAATACCATTGCTTACAAAAGTTTATCTACCTCCAATTTAAATGAACAACTGATCCAGCATCCAAGATAACAAGGTGTAAAACTGGATGAACACAGCAGGCCAAGCAGCATCAGAGGAGCAGGAAAGCTGACATTTCAGGTCTGGACCTTGCTTGGCCTGCTGTGTTCGTCCAGCTCTACACCTTGTGTATCTCAGATTCTCCAGCATCAGCATGTTCCTGCTATCTCTGATCCAGCATCCAGTACCATTTGTGGAAGTGTGTTCCAAATCTGTAATACCCTTTGTATGTACAATTGCACACTAATATTTCTCCTGAATGGTCTGGCCCTAATTTTCAGTCTATGCCCCAGGTTCTAGAATCTCCAATCAGTGAAAATAGTTTATCCTTTCCTGTATTATCTGTAAGTGTGTGTTCTAGGTTTTTATTTTGCAGTGCCATTTTTAAAAATGGCAATCAAGAGCATAAACAATTGATGTGAGGAGTGCAATTCCAGCTTAGTCTTGGTGTTAAAAAGACATTCACTTAGACTTAGAAACCCTACAGTGTGGAAATAGGCCCTTGAGCCCAACAAGTCCACACTGACCCTCAGAGCATCCTATCCAGACCCATCCCCCTATAAACCATCTCATCGACCCTGAACACAATGGGCAATTTAGCATAGCCAATCCACCTAGCCTGCACGACTTTGAACTGTGGGACGAAACCCATGCAGACACATGGGGAATGTGCAAACTCCACACACAGTCACCCGAGGGTGGAATCAAATCCAGACCCCTGGTGCTGTGAGGCAGCAGTGCTAACCACTGAGCCACCATGCTACAGTTACTGGAATCTTGGTACTAAATTACAGCCTTGCACTTGAGAATGTTTTTTAAATCATTAAATTTGTTTGATAGCAGAGTTGCACAAAAAGAGTTGCTTAATTGTTTGGAAGGTTGATGTGTGATGCAGAGTGAGGCCATCAGTATGGATTCAATTCCCGCACTGGCTGATGTTATCTTCAAGGACTGTCCTCAACTTCCCTTCACCTGAGGTGACCCTCAGGTTAAGCCACTACCAGTCGTGTTTCTCTGATGGGAGAGATGCTCTATGGCCTTTGTGATACTATGGTGACTTCACCTTTACTTTTTGCATGAAGATTTTGTGACTTTTCACAGATGTTCAATTTAGTTTGTGCTTTATTTGGATGTTTATTTCTGGTTAGCTGAAAGGCTGTTTTGTATGTGTTGTGGCCTTTGGTTAATGTGGCATGCGATAAAATATACCAGATTAGGATTTTTTTTGTTGGAGTGAGTGTGGAAGGAAAGAGAAAGTGATCCGTAAAGAATGTTTGATTCTGGTGTTTCTTGCTCTGAAGCAATTATCAAAATGATTACCAATTGATCACATACTGTAAATAGCAGAATTGACCAGCTTCCTATTTTAAGGGGAGCAAATGTCTGATTCTCCAGTTAACTGGGCAGAGTTGTTGTAAATTACTTTGGGGGAAGTGATTTCCACCTCTGCTCTCCTCTCAAACATTTGTATTTAGGAATTTTTTCTGCTTTCCTTCTTGTTAGGAGTAGACTGATGCCAGTTTTTGCTTCATGCTTTTGGTCAAAGATTTGCTGTTTTAATTGGATCTTTAACTCACGAATACATTTGGCACACTGCTGTCAGTGCATCTAATTCTGTTGCAGTGACTGACTTCTTTTGGTAGAAGTAATTCTCCATTTGGCATGCGCTTCCATCAGATGCACTATTCATCTGAAATCAACACAAGATTGACAAATCAAGAAGGGAGTCAGGGGTTACAGGGAAAAGGCAATAAAGTGGAGTTGACAATGCTGAGATCATGATCTCATTGAATGGGACAGCAGTCTTGATGGTCTGATTGGTTGACTTCTTCCCTGTCTTAAAAATTTTAAGTTCAAATTATGTTTAGTACAAATTACATTTGTGTACTGCAATCTGTTTGTGGTAGGTTAGAATATTCCCACTGGAAGTTGCTTTAGATGCAAGGACACCAATAAACAGATTTAAAATCATGTTTGATTTATTAAGGAAGTTACTAAGTTATACCGATGTAACTATTAAATGGTTCTGCATGTTTTTAAAATCATTCCGTTAATTTAAATTGATCTACAGGTGGTGAAGTAGATAGTCCAATTTTAAAATGCTAGTTTTCTTTGTGACTTTTTTTTTACAGATGTGATAAATCTGCCCTGCTTCATCAAGGAATATTTTAATATAAAATTTTAACTTATTTGACATGCCACCCAATTGTAGTATGTCGTGGCAAATTTTGGATTGAGTGAAATGCAAATTTAGTTGGATGGAGAACTTGAGAAAAAACACTTCTCAAAGCTCCTGCAGTTTAAAGTGAAGATTAATAAGTACATGGATTAAAAAAAACAAAGATTTGCAGATGGGGATTGGATGAAAAGGAATGCGAGTAGGCTTGTGCAGAACATAAATACTGAAGTAGATCAGAGATAACAAGGTGTAGAGCTGGATGAACACAGCAGGCCAAGCAGCATCAGAGGAGCAGGAAGGCTGACGTTTC